TTTTCCACACCGCCCTGTGTTACACGTGTACCCCACATATTTATTATTTTAGAATTGCGTCCTAATTAGAATTTCTTGGAGGTCACCCATCCAAAAAACAGCAGGGGCTGGTGAAAAAGGGAGAGGAATTTGGAATCACACACACAAGGTGGTCTCCAACCTCGACTCTTGATAGGGATGAGAGGTGTGAGTTCAGGCCAATTGCTAAAACACTCCGGGCCCCGCCTTACTTTTCTCTAAAGTGAGAATGCTATTCTTACTCTGAAGCTGGTGTTCTCTTCCTGGGAGGGCAGCCTTGGGTTGTGCGGAGAGGAGGAAAGAGCTTGTTCATTCTGGAAAGCAGGACTTGCGGGGTACTATGGGGGGCAGAGAGAGAGAGAGAGGGGCCTGCCTGCCCACAGTGGAGGGTATTATTTCGGGAACAATGAGAGAAAACACTGGGACAGGAAAAGAAGGGCCCTCCTGCTTTGTACACTGATCACATGCCAAAAGCCCTGGCCTTAGGACAGGTGCCTGGGAAGCCCCTGGAAGACAGATGGAGGGGCTCGAGCTGCAAGGGAAACAAATGCATTTTGAGTCACGTGGCGACTGAACTGAAAGCGTCTTATGAATAGAGTTCTTGTCTGCTTTGCCCTCCCTGGACATCAGAGAAACAGATCAAGAGAGGGATGGTATTTTTTTTTTCCCCTTGAAGAAAGAACAAGGGGACCTAGCTTCACAGGAACAAGAGGGGCTTAAATTAGACAGTGATACTGACTTCCTCGCCCTGAGAAAAGAGTATCCTCTGTCCTAAGGAGCCTCCTTTCTAAGAGACTTGACATCTCCCAGCTGGCAGAGGCTCAGGGAGGAGTTCGTTAGTTCATTAGTGACTCTCAATCTCTTCCACACACTGGACAAGTTTCCATAATTACTGAGACGATCATCAGGTTGGAAAGTTTCCTGGTGAGCTGCAGAGTTCCCACACTCCCGACCACTCACTTCCAGGCTGAAGCCTTTTCAGACGCAAATCTGAGCTGCCAAGAGCAGACCCTGAGTTCAGGCGGGTGGGGTCTCAGGTGACGTCCCCTCAGAGCCAATGACGATGCTGGGCCCGCCCAGAGCCCAGGCGCTGGCCACTCCTCTTAAGGGTCCCTATGAAGGGAAGGGGCCCAGAACTGATCGGAAGTCACACAACTGGAACAACAGCTTGACTTCCCTCTCTATCTTTCTGAAGGTTGAGAAATTCAACCGAATTGATATAATAGTGTGTTTATATAAATCCTGTTATCACTTTAAGGCCTAGGGATTTTCAGAGCAAAGGCCAGTGTGAGAAAACAGTATGTCTCCAGTGCAGCTAAACTTCAAGGGATAGCCAGGTGTCGATGGTGGAGGACACCCGTCTACACAGGACAGTGAGACTCAGTTCACAGAACAGTTACTGAGTTCTTACTAGGTGCCCGGTCTTGGTTTAGGTATTGGGAGGTGGGATGGAGGAAATCCAGACATAATAGTAATAATGACAATGATAATAAAAACAGCGACATGTGGGTACATGCTAGGCATTGAGCTCATTTATTCATTTATTCAATAAAAAGTGGAGGCTTCATAAATGTTTGTTGAACCGTTCACTTGCCCCAGCTGCACTGGCTCTCAAATGCACCTCAGGGCCTTTGCGTGCGCTCTTTTCTCCGCCTGGAAGGCTCTTCTTCCAATATTTGCGTGGCTGTCTCCCTCACTTCCTTTGCTTCCGCATGGAGACGACACCTTCTCAGAGGTCTCCTTGACCACTCTCCCTCCAGTTCCACAGACTTCCTGTCCCCCCCCACCCCCCAACTTGGCTCCCCCTGAGCGCTACCTCGGTACTGTATCTACCAATGCACTGCTGCCTGATCTCCCTTGCCGGTGGGAGAACTCCGGGAGGGCAGGGATTTCAGACTGCTCACCGCTCTAGCCCTCTTGCCTAAGTCGGATGCTCAAATTTGTTCGATGTGTGAATGGAATAGAATAATTTCTCAGTGTCAATTATGCACCCAACAATAAGCGCTAAGAACAGGGCCACAAACAAGGCAGACAGGTTTTTGCCCCCGAAGGCCCCACGGCCTGGTGGGAGTACCACACTAATCACACAGTAATCTCCAGGCCGCTGAGATAGAGCCTTCTGGACGCTTTACTGATATTATTTGACGGAAACCTCATCACAACCCCAGGCCATTGGTACTATAAGCCATGGGTTATAGACACTATTTCACTTTTTTCTATAGAGAAACTATCCAGAGGGGGCTCTGAATTATAGGGGGGCTGGGTTTATTTAGTGGACCCATAATAATACCTATGTATATGTAACTTCATTTACAATAGTCTTTTTCATATGCATTACGTTCCACGAACCCTGCGCAGTATTCATCCTACTCTATAAATGTGGATTCAGAGGAGTCAGAGAACATTCCAGAACCATACAACTGAATTAGTTTTCCAGATGGCATCCAACCCAATCCGTAGCCTTATTACTCTTCATTCGGAGGAACTCAGATGATGGAGGGACCAAAGGATGGGATGGTGGGGGGATGGGACAGGTGGTCAGGGACTCGATTTTCCTAGAGGGGGAGGAGGTTGGGACGTCAGGTTGGAGGGCTGGGGAGAAGGAGCTGAACAGCACAGGCTGGCAGCTGGCTGTAGGGCAGGGAAGGTAGGTTGCAGAGACTCCCCACTGGGAGCGGGGGCACAGTGCCCACACCCCCTTCCCACGAACACCCTCCTGGTCATTGTGAGTTGATTCTAATGAGGGGTTATGGGAGATTCCCGAGTAAGGCTGGGGACTGATGAAAACGGTCTCTGAGGAGTAGGGTTTTTATAGCAACTTCTCCATCCCATTCACTCAGTCACCCATCGTATCCACATGCCCCTTCTACTTTTTGGTTAAATTAGCAACATACATTTGTAACGTGCTATCTGAACCTGTCCTAACACACTGCATTTCCACATAACACCTACTTCTACTGAACTTCCAAACTCTGGTCCTTTCCCAATACCCCACCCCCTGAGGAGTGGGCACTCTGGCAGTGTGGAATGCTGCAAACGAGAAGCCTAGCATTGTAAGTTATGCACTGCTATCTCCATCCATTATGCATTAAGCGCCTCCTATAATCCAGGCAAATTACCTGGCACTGGGGATAAGAAAAGGAGCAGATCAGTATCTGCCCTGAAAGCTCTAGTGTGGATGGCAGTGAAGTACTACAAATAGACACTAGATCACCTAAGTGCTATCACCTCTCTGGGCGCTGAGGGGGTACCCAGGAGGGACACTTATGCAGGCCAGGGGTGGGGGCAGGAAAAGCATCAGGGAAGCTGAGTTCCTTGGAGAATGTGGCACACTAGGGCCCCGTAGGGACGTTCCATCTGGCTACACAGAGAAGGAAGGGATTTGAGGGAGAAATGAGGCTGGAGAAGGGGTCCAATCCTGAAGGGCTTTTTAATGCCTTGTGAACACAGGGACTCTCATTACACATTACGTATGTGATATGTGCAGCGGCGTGGTGAGAGGGAGTCGTTGTGGGAGTGAACTACCAGTGTCAGGTTGAGCTACAGGCCTGCCCAAGCCTTCCCAGTATGAGATGCATTGAGTGCTCATCAGCAGTCTGGGTTTTCCCCCAAGGCTGGCCGGCCTTGGACGAACTTCCCTTTGCCCTCGCATCTGACTATATACATCCCTGCACTGGTCGAGAGCGCGAGCTCCAGGAGCCGCTGCCTAGATTCCGGCCTGACTCCTGCCATTCTCAAATCGTGTCACATTGTGTGAGCTGTCCACCCTCACGGGTACACTGGATCAGCACACCCGCAGTGCCAACAACACCAGAGGCTCACTGAGGACAGAAGGAGGTGACACACAGTGGGCTCCGGGCGGGGTGCCGGCCAACAGTGAGCGACTGGCAGACGTCGACATGCTGTGATGTTGCAGCACCCCTGCAGCCTCATGTTGCTGGCACCCACCCCTTCTTCGTCATCACCGGCCCCATCACCATGGCCATCACCACCGTCACCATCGTTCCCACCGTCACACCACAGAAGTTCTAGGAGGTCCTTCCTCACTGGGCTCCTCCCTGCATACTCCTTCCTTGTGACTGTCTCAGGGCAAAGAAGGCTCTACCTGGAGGGACTTGAATAATATGAAATTCATAACCTTTATTCTTGCAGCAGACATTGTTCTAGGTACTGGGGATAAAAGACGGAGCTAAATAAAGTTCCCACACGTGGAACTGACAATCTAATGAAAAGAGACAGGCAATAATAATTAAACCTGCAACTCTGTAGTAGGTGAGAGAGAAATGAAGACTCCAGTGAAAAATAAGGCAGGGAAAGGAAGCGTCTCACGGTGGGCAGTTGTTACAAAGATGGTCCAGGAAGAGCACGCCTGGAGATGACCTCTGACCTGAGGACAAGAAGGACACTGCAAAGTGGAAGGGGTCAGTGGGGGCGGTCAAGTTCGTCAGGCACAGAGAACAAAACTGTAACAGGCTCAAGGGCGGACCATGCCTGGCACACTGAGGAGCAATGGGGCGGCCTCCGTGTCTGATGCCGGGGGTCCGGGGGTGAGTGAGAGGGGGTGGGATCAGATAGGGCAGCAGGGGGCAGAACATGGGGGCTGTGGAGGTCATTGCCAAAGTTTTGCCTTTTACTCCCAGTGACTTGGAAAGTCACTGCAGGGTTTTAGAAGAGGGCGTGACATGGTCTGACACATTTCCAGGGATCGTGTGTTGTCTGGCTCGTGCGTTGAAAAGAGGCCACGGGGCAGCAGGTGCTTCAGCAGAGAGGTCAGTGAGATGTTATTTCAAGAGTCCAATCGTTGGATGGAGTGCAGGCTGCGAACCAAAGCATCGCAGGTTCCATTCCCAGTCAGGGCACGTGCCTGGGTTGCAGGCCACGGCCCCCAGCAACCGCACATTGATGTTTCTCTCTCCCTCTCTCTTTCTCCCTCCCTTCCCTCTCTAAAAATAAATGAATAAAATCTTTTTTTAAAAAGTAGACTTGGTTTAAAAAAAAAAATGGTCCAATCGTGAGCTGGTGGCGACTTGGATCAGTGGTAGCAGGCGGTGCGGGTCGTGAGAAGTGGGAGGTGCTGGAGCTATCTGGAAGGAAAAGGCGAGATTTGCTAATAGGCTGCATTGGGTGTGGGGGAATTGGGTGACAGAGAGGAGTCTGGGATCGTCCCTGAGCAACAAAATGGATGGTATTGGCACGGGCGGGGGTGAGGAAGGCTATGAGCACAGCAGTTGTGGAGAGAAAAGCAATTTAATATGCACGTTGCCTCTACAATGTAAGGTGCCATGGTTACCTTAACAAACTGGGACTCGGTGAGGTGAAGCCTGTGGTCTGGAAGCCACACAGGGTGCGGGGAGGAGCTCCAAGACATAATTCCTCTACTGCATGGAGCTACAGGATTTGAAGCTGGGGAGCTGCTGGGAGTGTGAACCTGGAGGCTGGTGGGGCGGAGGAGGGGGAGATCCTAGCTGAGCCAGACAATCAGGGAGGCCCCCACCTCTAGTACATACCCTGTCTGCAGGGCATTCAGGCTCACACCTTGGCTCCTGGGCAGAGGGGTCGGGTGGGTCTTATCAACCTGGATCAGAGAAGAGGCAGCTTGCAGTCATAGGGGCTTCCTATTCAGGCATTCTAACTGAAGTGCGGAAAACCCAGAGGGCTGCAGGCTTACAGAGCTCTACCTTATAATTTATGATCCACGCAGTCCAACGACGTCCTGAAGAGGCTTTGCACAAGCTGGGGAATCATCCAACACTCTTGAGGGTGGATGAAGAGGAAAAGGGGTGGAGGAGAATAAATCCAGAGGAAAGGAAGGGCAACTTCCTCCAAATGCGTGCTGTGCTGACTCGGAAAATGGGGCAGAAGAATGGAAACCTCCGTGAAGACCCGCCGGTGCCTTCCTGTCCTAGAAGATGCACTTTCACGACTAATTACAACCTCCTCCTCTGGCCGCAGCCAAACACCGCACTGGAACCACGCTTCAGAGGAAAACACTGCCTGCTTTTTCAAGCGAAACACATCAGAGCCTGTGGTCTGTGAGCCTCATATGGTGCTGGGAGCTCCGAGAACTAGGGATGAAAGAAAATCATTGAAACCTAGACACAGAAGGTCTGTGCAGCTACACTTTCCCGCAATGACTCCGGAATTGTGTTAGCTGGCCTCTTTATTCAGTGAACCCTCTCCTGTGCCCAGTATTATATGGTGCCTCTCATTGAATCCTCACTACAACCCGGGGAAGCAGTTCTCATAACCCCATCTCACAGATGAAGACACAGAGACTCAGAGAGGTCACATTCCCCAGTCTGTCATGACGCTGACTTTGAACCCAGGTCAGCCTATTCCAGACCCTGTGTCTTAACCACTGCACTCACTACCTCCCAGAGGGCAAGGAGGAAGGAGGGAAACTGAAAACAGTATCAGACCCTTCCTCCTCCCCTCTATCCATCCAGGGCTCCGTAGAGTCAGAGCTGAAAAACCTCCCATTTTTATATCTGGCCTACAGTCTAAATCAACGTAAAAGCATTTAAATATTTAATTATTTCTGACAAAAATCAGATGACGATTTTCTCTAAGACGTAGATTAGTAATAAGAAAGGCCTTTAGAGATGCAGAAGGGGCGACCTTGAAATCCAGAGTCGAGGTTAAGTACGCTTTTCAAGGTCGCAGTTTGGTGGCAGAACTAAGGCTAACAAAGCTGGGCTCCTGCCTCCCAGGCCAGCGTGTGGCTGGCCCCCCAGAGCAGCTCTGCCAGTTATTGCTGTCTCTTCCCTGACACGGATGACTGCGTGAAGGATGATGGCTCTTTCTGTGTCTAGAGATTCTAAACACAGTCCGAACTTAGCTGAAGTTTCTAAATAAGGGTTTTCTAGCACCTTCTGATGAGTTAGTGGGTTTTTTTTTTCTTTTACCATCCTCTCCCCACCTCCCAGTCAGGGTCAGAGTCGTGTGCCCTGTTGAACCTGTGTGGGGCAGATGATTATATTTCTAGAACTTATTGTAATTTACTCTGCCCTCCCACACTGTGACTCTTCAGCCTGGCTGACTGGCTGGTTTATACAGACCTTTGCAATCTGGGCCCACTCCACCCAGATCGTATCTTTCTTCCCTATAGCGCAGCTCACACCCTTCCTATCAGACAGGTGGCCTGGGCTTACCCCATTTCCGGCCACAGAAATATCCTCTCTGCCCTCCTTCTATGCAAATCCATTCTTTGAGGCTTTGCTCAAGAGCATTCTGCTCAAGAAGACTTCCCCAAGTACAACCCAGTGGTTTGCTTTCCAAGTTCCCTTAGCATTTATGTTCTCAACCAGCTACTTTAGCCTCAAAATGTTTCTGCACATTTTTCCAAATGTAATGCAGGCCCCTTGAGGGTAGGCACACATGTGTGTATTCATTCACTGTAGATTTTTTTAAACCCTCACCTAAGGATATACTCACAGATTTTAGAGAGGGGGAAGGGAGGGAGGGAGACGAGAGAGAAACATTGATCAGTTGCTTCTCCCGCAACCTAAGCATGAGTCCTGACCACGAGGTGAACCAGCGACCTTTTGGCTTACAGGGCGATGCTCCAACCCCCTGAGCCACATTGGTCAGGGCTCATTCACTGTAGATTCTAAAAAGCACCTTACAAGGTGAGACACAAAGAGAAATGTAAGCAATGGTTGCTTCCTGTCCCCAAGGAGGGGGGACTCTAATAGTTTGCAGACGTCTGTCTGGCACATAGCGGGACCTGAACAGAGGTTTGCTACATGGAACATACACATATGTTCAATCATTTGCTGTTTCTAAGTCCCATGAGAGGTACCAGGTGGTGTGACAGGGAAGGCATCATGAAAGAGGTGGCATTTGAACTAGGCCTTAAGGACAGGGAATGTTTCTTAAAACCAGAATGGGGAGAACAGGCAGAAGGATCCGTGTTCCTTACAGCACATTGCTAGGCATACCCAGTGCCGGGCACACACCAGGAACCAGGTTCAGGAGGAAAGCAGTGGAGTCCGGCCCCTGCCCCAGCACCAACTAGCCTTAGTGAGAGGGAGCGAGTTGCTTCATTTCCACGGGGCCACGTTTCCTTCCCACTCTGAAGCGATTAAACGGCACAGGCTCTGGAAGAAGCCGCTGAAGGTGACTTTAAGCCAGTCATTTGGGGTAGCTGGTTCAGCCTCAGTTTCCTTCCGTTAAAATGGGTAAAATAATTCCTACCTTGGGAAGTTTTTTGAGGTTTTAAGAACACGTGTAAGTTGCTAAGCACAATACTGACATTACTGTATTTCCTTCTACCAAAGTAGGTGCGACAACCCTCTCTGCCTCCCTGTCAGTGCTCTGAGGCTGGTCCCTAGTAGGGGCTGTTGACAGACTGTGGGGGGCGTGGGGGAGGGGGTGCAAAGACAAAACGCAGTTGGCAGGGCTTCAGAAAAAAAGACAACAGCGTTGACAGTGGGCTGCCTGGCTGAAGGGACGCTCAATACGTGTGTTTCCACGAAGAGACTTCACATAGTCCAAGAATCTTTGCTCACTGTCCCAATCATGCCCTTCGGGGTTGACTGGGTTTTATACAGACAGCCCTTTCGGCCTCCGCCTTCAAACCCAGGGGATGAGACAAGGCCCAGACCCGTGGCGGGCTTGGAGGATGGCACGGAGTAGGGGGCAGGGATGCCCCAACTCCCAGTGGGAAGGAATGGTGGGGGTCTGTTCCCGCCTCCTTACTCCCACTCCCGGTCCGGGCAGGGCAAACGGGGCTCCCTCCTTCACTTCCTCTTCGCTCACGGGTCGAGAAGGAAGGGGGGTTCGCGCTTGGCCCACTGCAAGGCTCTCCTCCGTCCCATCCGCCAGGCCACCCCCACGTCGGCCGCCTACCCCTGAGGCCCCTGTGGACCCGCCCAGTCGCCAGTCTCCGACCCGGTCCAACCAGTCCTTCTCCCTTTGACCACCTAGGCTGCCCGCCCCCGGGCTCCGCAGACCCCGCCCGGCCGCTCTTCCTCCCTCCGTCACTTCGCCCGAGGCCCCCCCCTCCATCCCTCCACCCCGCTCCCCAGCTCCGCCGCTCCGAGGTCCCGGTTTGGCCGCCCCTCACCCCTCGGCCCCGCAGACCCCGCTCGGTCACGCCCCCGCCCCAAGGCCGCGCCCACCTCCACCTCCATTTCCATCACCACCCCGGCCCCCGTAGACCCGGACCGGCCCCTTCTCGCCCCCGTAGATCCCGCGGGGCCACCCCTTCCCGGCCCTCCCTCCGTGGGGTCGTGGCGCAGGGGGAGGGGCCGCCCCCGCCCCCGCGTGCGTGGCAGGCTCTCCCCGCTCCGCGCTCCCGGCCTCCCTTCCCGGGGGGCGGGGTCGGCGCCGCGGCGGCGAAGCCAGCCCCCTCCTCCTTCCTCCCTCGGCCGGCCTCCTTCCTCGCCGCCCGCCCGGTCGCTCTCTCTCGGCCGCTCCGACGCCAGCTGCGCCGCGTGCCGCTCGCCCTGCCCCGGGGGAACCCGAGGAAGTGTCCCGGGCCGCGCGTCCCGCTCGCTCGCCTCGCAGCCCGCGGCCTCCGCCGCCGCGCCCGCCATGCCCTCGGCCAAACAAAGGGGCTCCAAGGGCGGCCACGGAGCCGCGAGCCCCTCGGAGAAGGGCGCCCACCCGTCGGGCGGCGCGGATGACGTGGCGAAGAAGCCGCCGGCGCCCCAGCAGCCGCCGCACCCGCCGCCCGCGCCGCACCCGCCGCAGCACCCGCCGCAGCATCCGCAGAACCAGGCACACGGCAAGGGCGGCCACCGCGGCGGCAAGTCCTCCTCCTCCTCCGCTGCCGCCGCCTCGTCCTCGGCGTCCTGCTCGCGCAGGCTCGGCCGGGTGCTCAACTTTCTCTTCTACCTCGCCTTGGTGGCGGCGGCCGCCTTCTCCGGGTGGTGTGTGCACCACGTCCTGGAGGAGGTCCAGCAGGTCCGGCGCAGCCACCAGGACTTCTCCCGGCAGCGGGAGGAGCTGGGGCAGGGCTTGCAGGGCGTCGAGCAGAAGGTGGGTACCCCCGGCCCCCGTACCTACAGCCACGTCTTTGCCCAGCACCCCCGTCCGGCTCCCGAGTCCCCAGGCTGTCCCCAGACCCTCTTGGTAATGGCTGCGGAGGGATCGGCCTCGAGGGATGGACCGCCGGGAGGGTGGGCCGAGGGCCTGTCACAGGACACTAGCGGTGACCTGTAAGGAAGCCGGAGGCTTTGGGGAGCCCGTTCTTTCTGGGTTAGGGACCGTTGAGTGGGCAGAGTTCTCTGGAAAGGAGGTTGGAAGCCAGCGCATCCCTGGAAGCCTCTGGCAAGGCCGCAGGCACCTCAGCCTTCCCCGTGGGAGACATCTGAGCCAGTTTTTAATAGACCCGGAGCCTGGGGAAGGAAAATTTAGTAGTGTTCATTTGCGAAATTCCAACGAAGTGGTACATGTGTTCAGGCCCCTTCGTCCTTTATCGGACCAAGGTACCCATGTGGGCTTTTGGAAGCAGCACAGTACAGCTTTAGATGAAAGGAAAGGCCAAGAATAGTAAGCCATATGGGTGAATAATACCACTTATATGGTATTTAGAAGGTTTACTCACTTATTATCTAATTGTCATAGTACCTCTGGGAGGCGGGAGGGTGGTGGCAGTTTCGACTCCATTTTCCAGACCAGAAAACTGAGGGTTAGATTAAGTCAATGGATCAAGACCCCAGCTGGTGCATGGCAGACTGCATGAGAATGGCTAGGCCCCCGCCCAGTTCGGGGTCCGCAGGGGCCTATGGCAGGTGTGTGGATGGACCCAACTTTCAACACAGAGCCGCTTGGCGTGCACTCGTCTGTGTTTTTCCACACCGAGCGCAACTCCCTCAAATCTCATTCCTCCTCCTCCGTCCTCCACTTAATGTCATTGCTCAATGGAAGCTGGTTGCCTCATGAAACAAAAAATCCCGCCACCACTCAGGAGCCCGAAACTGCTGCCTCCTTTTCCCAGCATGCTGTCTGTCTTGCCAGGTCCCTTTCCACTTTTGCAGAGTACGCAGGACTCGGCATTTGCTCTTCAGACAGGCAGAGCAACTAGGATGAGTCAGCCTGCTCGGGCTGCAGGCCGCGGGAGGTGACTTTTGAGTCAAGTAGGCAGTGGTGCTTTGCCTGTCCCGAATGTGAAATCATTCCTAAGAAAATAGACGTGCTGCTGGGGCGGAATCACTAGGCTCCCATTTTCCTCCCCGTCGTCCACCCCCTTACTCATCAGTCATAATATTTATTGAAGTCTGATAGTCACATGGCTTCGAGTAGGCCCTGTGGATGGTAGGAAGCAGAAAAGACACAAATCATATTTGTGAAGCTGCACATAAGTGGGTTTCCATCCAGGGGAACTGGGGGAGTGTCCAGAAGGGAGAGGGTGTGGGGTTTGCCTAGGCCTCTGTCTTATCCGGGTGGTCAGTCGCGATCTCGTTGGTGATCCATAACTTCAGCGAAGGCATGAGGAACACACAAGCAGTGGACAGTCTTGAGCATGTTTGAGGGACAGCAGGTGGCTACTCTGCCTATGACAAGCAACAGGAAGTTGTGAGGGGTGATTGAAACTGAGGCCCCAATAGGGGAGGGAGGTCATGAATCCAGATTGAAGAAATTGGGCTTTATTCTCTGAGTCCGCCCTGTCCCTCCTGTTCTTTCCTTTCTGGTTCCCACCCCTTCTCCGTCACACGGCACAGCTGCACACAGATTACTTTCCTCTCTGGAGCTTAGTTTGTTCGTCTATACAGGGGAGGGTCCCATCTAGATTTTTAAGCATCTCCCTGGCAATAGAAGTATTGAACGAGCGATCACTATGGAAGATAGTGACCTTCCTTTTAATTTAGCATTGTCATCAAGCTCTTATTTAGTGCATCATATTTATGGTTCGCTCATGTCTTTCACAACAGCCCCCAAGGGACAGCAACTACAGCTGACCCTGGAACAACATGGGTCTGAACTGCATGGGCCCACTTATATGTGGGTTTTTCCCGATATCTGTCTACAGCACTGTAATGTATTTTCCTTATGATTTTCTTAATAGCACTTTATTTTCTCTAGCTTACTTTACTGTAATAATACAGCATATAATATGTACATATATCATGCACAGTGCGTGTTAATTGACTACGTTATTGGTAAAGCTTCCAGTCAATAGGCTATCAGTAGTTAGGTTTTGGGGAGTCAAAAGGTATATGTGGATTTTTGACTGCGGGGGCGGGGGGTTGGCACCACTAACTCCTGCCTTGTTCAGGGGCCAGCTGTGCTGTTGTCCCCCTTTCGCAGATGAGAGAAGCGAGGCACAAAGAGGCTAAGTAACTTTACGCAGTGACACAGCTGGTAAGTGGCTGGGCTAGGGTTCAACCCACATTTATCTCCTAGGATACTTTTCGTCACTCATCTGCTCATGTTTGTCTTTCCTGTGCCTTGCCTGGTCAGTAGTAGTGCTCAGTTTATGCTCATTCCATTGGTTGGGAAGTCAGAGCATGCCCAGAAGAGTATAGGATTTGCCATAGTGTGCAGTCACTTGTGTGTGCACCTCTGGGTAGACAGTGAATAAGTTATTTCACATGGAGGAGTGAGTAGTGATGGGTCCTCTGACAACCTAAGCTTGAACCCTTTTTAAACTTGCTAAAAGGCTTGGTTGGGGCTGGAGTTTGGTTCTCAGCTGGGACATATGTTTACAGTATTATCTATAATTAGTATTCACTATTATTCATAGTATCATACCTACAGTGTTGTTCATAGTTAGTTTTCACATATTAACACCAGGCATTCTGTTAAGTGTTTCCCAGCCATCCACTGAGGCAGATACCCTTTATTAGTTCACAGCTGGGCCAGCTGAGCCTGGAGTTACTCGTTCGGGGTCACACCAGACCCTACGTGGTGGAGTTGAAGGTCCCAGGTTGCCCTGGTGGATCCAGGGTGGCCTGAAGTGATTGTAGGAGTCGGCCCAGGCCTAGCGGGGGCCATTTAATGAGGCTGCTTGTGATTTGTTGAAGAGTGAGTTCACTGATAGTATTTCTTTGTTTTCCCATTTGGCTCTGGATCAGGAACTAGGGCTTTGGGTTTAGGGAGCATCTCCGATGCTCTTAGTGCACTTGGAACGCGCCTCTGCCCGAGCATGTATCGCACAGAGGCTAAAGCCCAGGTTCTGCAGTTGCACGTGCTGGGACTCCCTCCGGTGCGGGGCTTTGCCACCTCTCAGTCTCCTTGCTTGTGAAATGGAGATCAGAGGGAGCCGCTGGGGAGATGATTAGGAGGATGTCATGAGGTGATGCCTCTTTAATTCCACAGCTGTCAGACTGCCATTCAACTCTGTTTCTGACAGTTCTGAGTGACGGCTGTTCTGTATCTTCGTTGTAATTCTGATGTGGTTGTGTGAGGAGGTGAGTGGTGTGCTCATGCTGCCATCTTGACCGAAAGTCAGAGAGGATGTCGCTGAAGTCCTTGGCATAACTGTCGTGTACAGTGAGTGCTCTGTTGAGTGACAGTCAGCGCCGCCCCCTTCCCCAGGTCGTGAGCCCCTCGAGGGCAGATGTCCTGTCTTAGCTGTTGCTTTATCTCTGCCATGTTGCCCAGCACCCGCCACTTAGTGGCATCCTGCATATATTGGGGGAATACATGCACCCGTTGCATGGTAGTTATAAGAAGGGCTTTGCATGTGAAAATGAGCAACCGACAGCATCAGTAAGGGGACACTGTGTTCTTTTTATAGCGTGGGGACTTGGTTGGTTTGGTTTCACCCGTAATTTCTGATCTAGTCCCTTTCCCAGCCATTCGTAAAACGCCAGCCCAGGATGTAGGTGATAGTCAGGGATCAGAGAGGAAATGGACCAGCTCGGTCTGAATTCGACTTTGCTGTGTTAATTCATTTATTCTTTGATTCATTCACTGGTGAATGCCTGCCATGTTGCAGGTACTGCACTCACCTGCTCACACCTCTATTCTGAGAGCAGGCAAGTACCGTGATTACATAACCTACTTTCAGAGGTGAGCTCTCGCCAGTGTTCTGTATTACTCAGGTTATATTTGGTTGGGCAGGGAAATTGTCTAATATCCTAGAGTCCCTGAGAACCATAGTCTAATTTGTCTTAAAATCACAGGCTGGTGTGGAAGCCAGAAGGGACTTCGGAAACCTGTTTGTTAATAGACAAGGAGCTTGGGACTTGGGAAGCGAGTGTGACCACTGTGTGCTCACGGCCCTGGTTATTATTGGTGGGGCTGGAACTCGAGCCCGGGGGTCCTGTTCCCGTCCCTGAAGTGTGTTGCCTTTGGCAGTGAACTGGAGATGGTCTAGGAATCCCCAGACTTCTGAGCTACTTTAGAAGAAAGACGAAACAATAATGAAGATGACAGTTACCATTTACTGATCATTCACTAGGTGTTAGGCACAATGTAAGCACTTTACGTAGATCAGCTCACTTCATCCTCACAAAACAGTCCTGAGTCGGGGACCTTTGTTCCCGACCTGCAGCCGAGGAAACCAGGGCACAGAGGAAACCAGGGCACAGACGGGTTCAGTAACTTGCCCGCGAGCGCACGGCCGGAAGTGCCCAGGCTGGGCTATGGACGGAGGCAGTCTGCTTCTGGAGCCCGCACTGTTGTGTCTGTTCCCTTTGTACGATGGAAGTGTTGAAGCGTCAACAAAAGGAGAGATCAATATGATGAATCCCAATTTCAGCAATTATCTTTTTTCTCTAGTTGTATCCGATCCCCACCCCTTCCCACCTCTGTTGCAGTGGTCTGGGTCGGAAGCACTCTGCTCCACTGCCCTGCCGGGTCCCCACCTGGCTCCTCTCGTTCTCCAGCGTTGGTCAGTTTTGGGAAAAGGCCCAGGTCTTCCGAGCGGCCACAGCACGGGCGAAGAGGCTGGCCTGTCCTTACCGGGAGGATTCGGCGGGCAGCAGCGGGTGGAGGGCTTCGGACATTGTTGCAGTTTGGTTCCGGGCCTTCTGAAGGGCGCCAGCTGCCCTGACACACCTGGCGATAGTGGACTAGGAGCTATTGGGTTGGCCAAAAAGTCCGTTATGTTTTTTTCTGTAAAATAAAAAACAGGGTTTTCATTTTCACCAATAACTTGATTTAGATATTTTGAGTATGTTGGTTGTCTCCCACCATTGGCCTCTTGCGGGTAGAGGCCAGGGGCACTGCTAAACGTCTTCCAATGCACAAGACAGCCCCATAGCAAAGAATTATCTGGCCAAAATGTCACTTGTACCAAGAAACGTCGCAAACTGCTTTTGATACATTCTGTCAGTCACAGCACCTTCTCCATACACTGCACTATCATTTTTATTTATTTATTTATTTATTTATTTATTTATTTTTTAGAGAGGGAAGGGAGGGCAAAGGAGAAAGAGAGAGAGAGAGAAACATCAATGAGCGGTTGCTGGGGGCCGTGGCCTGCAACCCAGGCATGTGCCTTGACTGGGAATCGAACCTGCAATGCTTTGGTTCGCAGCCTGCGCTCAGTCCACTGAGCTATACCAGCCAGGGCCTGCACTATCATTTTTTGGGTTTCAGTTGCATTTTACCTTCCTTGAACTAATAAAGCACACTACACTGAAAATGTTGCATATTTTCTTCCATCTTCAACATAAAAATGGCTGCACAAAAATTCATCAATTTTGATAATTTTTAAAAGGTGCACAGCTGATAAGACAGCTGTCACAACATAGTCTAACAAAATTGTTTTAAATGAAGTTAAAGACAAGTAAGCACTACTAGAGCCAATGTATGGAAAAAATGAAATGGATTTTTGGTCAACTCAGTAATTTTAAAATTAATCTCTGACACATCTGGTCACCCAGACTATTTTAGGATTTATTTCTAAGAAACAAAAGTTTGTTTCCTCTTCTTTGTTTTCATTTTTTTTTCACAAAGCGTATATTATCCCTAACAAAATTAACAATTCTTTTTTTAAATTTATTTTTTACTTAGAGAGAGAAGGAGAAAGGGAGGGAAAGAGAAACATCGATTTGTTGTTCTGCTTATTTATGCATTCACTGGTTAACAGTAATTCTTGACTGTCTTCTAATATCCAGTCCATAATAAGATCTCCCTGATTCTCTCAAAAATATGTCTCTTTCACAATTGTTTTTTTTGGATCAGGATCCATTTAACTCCACACATTACATTTGATCGATGAATCTTAAATTTCTTTCAATCCATAATAGTCTCTTGTCTTTCTCCTTTTTTCTTTTTAAAGGTTTTATTTATTTATTTTTTTTAGAGAGAAGAAAGGAAGGAGAAAGGGAGAGAAATATCAGTGTGTGGTTGCCTCTTGTATACCCCTACTGGGGACCTGGCCTGCAACCCATTGGTTTGCAGGCCGGCGCTCAGTCCACTGAGCCACACCAGCCAGGGCTCTCTGTTCCTTTTAAAATGCCATTTACTGGTTGAAGATTTTGGTCACTTGTCCTGTAGAACTTTACACCTTGTGGGTTTAGCTGATTGTATTCTCCTGGCATGTTTGTCTCTGGTATGTTTTCTGTGAACTGGCGATTAGAGCTAAAGACTCGATAGGTTTAGTTCTTTCCCCCCGTGTGTGTGTGTGTGTGCACGCGTGTGTGTGTGTACGTGCAAGAAAGTGTTCTAGGTGGCCCTGTGTGCCAGATTAGGATAAAGCCGAGGCCATTACTCATCTGTCAGCTCCTCAGTGCGTGGAACCAGCTCCTTGGGGTAGTTCCCAGTTCAGACCTTGTTTAGGGTAGAATGTATGTACAATGAATGTGTAATGGCCAGCAGGATCATAAGGTACTCACTAAGCCCGGGCGTGCTGAGGGATCGTCTGGTCCACCGCCCCCATTTTGCAGGTGAGGACAGTGACTTTTCAGTGACTTCACTGCACAGCTACGAGGGGTGAGCAGAGCTCCGAGTCCTTGTCTCTGGCCTCCCAGCCCCGTGTCTCCATGTGCCTCAGCTTGTTTCCCTGTGAAAACGTGTGAGGCTCCTTCACCTGCAAAAGCTAGAAATGTAGCTCAAAGTATCCTTAGCGGGGTGGGGAGAACTTACTGGCTCAAACTACTCGAGAGTTGAAGAGGAGATATCTCCAGGTGTAGCTGTATCCAGGGATTCGAATCGTGTCTTCAGACCTTGATCTTATCTTGTTTCTCAGTTCTGCTTCCCTCTGTGCTGGCTTGATTCCTAGACCTGCGTTCTTCTCCGCTAGTCTGTGTAGCTCAGCTCCAGGCTGCCCTCCTTCTGCAGCTAGCAGTCCCCTGTAGGAGGAGAGGTTTTCTTTCCAACCAGATTTAATGGGAGTTCTGGTGTTGACTTGGCCGGCTCTAGGCTACATACCCACCCCCGGCTCCACTTTTGGGGACCGAGGTGAATTGGGTGCTGGTTGGTCAGGCCTGGGTTACAAACCATCCCTGGAGCACTTGGAGGGGGGCCCTCAGGTTGGTCCCCCAAACCACAGGGATCGTGTGTGTGAGGGCAGTTGTCTGAAGGAAAGTTGTGGAGCCCTTTTAGAAGAGGAGGGACCCGGAAGCCGGATGGACAAAAAGAAAAACATCTGTAGCTGTGTTGCCTAACCCTCTCAGCTCTTCTTAGTTAACATCTGGACTTTGGTTACAGGTGCAGTCTCTGCAAGCCACACTGGGGGCTTTTGAGTCCGTCCTGAGAAGCTCCCAACATAAACAGGAGCTCACGGAGAAAGTCGTGAAGCAAGGGGAGAGTGAGATCAACCGGATCAGCGAGGTTCTGCAGAAGCTCCAGAACGAGATCCTCAAGGACCTGTCGGACGGGATCCATGTGGTGAAGGACGCCCGGGAGCGGGACTTCACGTCCCTGGAGAACACGGTGGAGGAGCGGCTGACGGAGCTCACCAAGTCCATCAACGACAACATCGCCATCTTCACCGATGTCCAGAAGCAGAGCCAGAAGGAAATAAACGACGTGAAGGCAAAGGTCGCCTCCCTGGAAGACCCCAAGGGCTACAGGCAGGACTTGAAAGCCTTGAAGGAAGCTGTGAAGGAAATGCAAGCCTCTGAGATGTCCAAAGAAAAGGACCTGGAGACCCTGAGGAGCATCCTGCAGGCCATGGAGTCCGACGTCTACACTGAGGTCAAGGAGCTGGTGAGCCTCAAGCAGGAGCAGCAGAAGTTCAAGGAGGCGGCCAAATCGGAGCGCCTCACGTTGCAGGCCCTCACGGACCGGGTGGCCCAGTCCGAGGAGTCCGCTGCTCGCCTCCCGGAGGAGATCAGGAGACTGGAGGAGGAGCTGCGCCAACTGAAGGCCCAGGCCCTCGGGCCGGAAGAAGACCGGGTTCTCAAAAACTCCGACGCCCTGGAGGCGCTCCAGAGACAGAGCGAGGGCGTGGACTCCCGGCTGCACACCGTGGAGGACGGGGTCCGGGCCGTGCAGACCGCCTCCGCGCGGCACGGCGAGAGCCTGGAGGCCCTGCTGGCCAAGAGCGAGGAGTGCGAGCAGCGCCTGGCCGCCCTGCAGGAGCGCCTGGACGGCCTGGGCCCCTCGGCCGAGGAGGCGGACAAGGGTGGCCTGGCCAGCACCGTGAGGAGCCTGGGGGAGGCCCAGCTCGCACTCTACAGCGAGGTGGAGGAGCTGAAGAGAAGCCTGGGCGAGCTCCCCAGCACGGTGGACACGCTCCAGAAGGTTCAAGAGCAGGTCCACGCGCTGCTGGGTCAGGACCAGGCGGCCCGCTCGCCTCCTCAGGACTTCCTGGACAGACTTGCCTCCCTCGATCACCTCAAATCCTCCGTCAGCCAAGTGGAGTCGGACTTGAAGATGCTCAGGACTGCCGTGGACAGTTTGGTGGCCTACTCAGTGAAAATAGAAACCAACGAGAACAACCTGGAATCCGCCAAGGGTTTGCTCGATGACCTGAGAAGCGACCTGGATAGGTTGTTTGTGCAAGTTGAAAAAATTCATGAAAAAGTCTAAGTGGATTGTGTTTTCAGGGTGCGGATTGAAAGTCCAATTTCTCATGACCAAAAAAAAAAAAGAAAAAAAAGTGTTGTTTTTCTCCCGTGCGCCTCCCCCTCCCCCCACATTCTTGTCCCCTCTTAAAGAGCAGTGGGCAACACTTGGAACACTGCAGCATTTTGTGTTTCTGTGCCCGGTTAATTTATTTACAATGATTACCACACACCACTGGTTTTTCAAGTGCTCTGCTTCTGCTTTTGGTGGGTTTCCTGGAGGCCCAGCCCCTGGGGATCGGAGGTGCCTGTTCGCAGGGATCTCTCTGGTGTCCAAGAAGAAGGGTAGTGGTTCATCCGAGGATTAACAGAAGCAGATTAACCTCCAAAAGGCCTGGCTGGCTGGCAGATGTCAAGTGCAAAAAAAAAAAAAAATGGGGGGAGGAGGCATTATTTTTCTTCCTAATTGTCTTTAAGGGAAAATTAATTTTACTTTTTTTATACTTCCGGCCGAAGTCTTCAGGGGATGTCACTCATGTTTTGTCTTCCACTTTAAACTGGTTAAAACAGCGTCAGTGCCAGCTCTGAGCCGGGGGGCAGCCCCTCGGTGGCCAGTGGAGAGAAGCAGCTGCTTGACCGTGGCCTCCCGTGGCGTGGGTGCCTCCTTCCTTTCCCGAATCGTATCTCACGATCTCAAAGGTAACTATGCAAAGAATCCAGACGGTTCTGAATGTGAAGGCGCAACACCCCCCCAGAGTCCCCTGTGGCTGACCTGCGTCACCTCTTGGTAGGGTCCCCAAATGAGGCGTATGTTTATCATCCCTGAAAGGCGGGGAGTCCTTGGATTCTTCCAGGAAGTGTATTTTGGGGGCTCTTCATAGGGCTTCCCCCCTGGGGGACGGAGGCCACGTCTTTTTATTTTGCCACGGCGTCCGTGCGGAGGCCCGCGGTCAGAGCGGGCCCCGGCTGCCGGCGAGGAGCGTGTGCGTTTTCTGTAGGTTGCTGTTTCCCTTCCCCTTCGAGCTGAAGTGTTCTTCAGTGGCTGTCTTGCCTTCAAAAAAAAAAAGGAAAAAAAAGAAAAAAGAAAAAGATTTAAAAAAAGGTTTGTTTAGTTTACTGTGAAATGAACTGTATGGCTTATTTACAGTATTTTTAATTCTTAATAAACACTTGAGCTTTGTTACAACTTTTCCAGAGTGGTTCCTTTCCGAGAATTTAGTAATTATGTGTATTTTATTAATGTGCAGTGTTGAGGATTAGAAAGGCAGGTATGTTTTCGATTTTCAGACCCTGTTTTTTCAATTCTGAAACCAAGATGGCCTCACTCAGGCCTGGGGACATACCTTTGATTGACTACTAGCAGGTTTGCCTGTAGGTCATCGCTAGACTCCAACTCTTGTTCGCAGAGAGTCTCAACCCCTACGACCTCTGTGGACTGACCTGAAGCTTTAACCATGCCTGGGCCCGTCCTATGAGTGTGGGAGTAAGTGCGTGTAGGAAGGGCTGGCACTGGAGTTTTAGAGGCGCCGGAGCGGACTTGGATGTGCCACCAGGTTTGAGACCCTCTGTCTCAGAGCATCTGAGCGGCCCTCAGGCTGCCGCAGCCCTGGGCACAGTTGCTTCCCACCGCACCCTCCCTGCTGGCTGGTAAAGGGCTGGTGATTGAGCACCTGCGTGCCAGCGTTATGCTAAGCACTTCACAGGCCTCTGTGAGTTCTTCCTCATATTTCCAGGAGGTAAGTGTTATTTTCCATTTTACAGAGGGGCGGCAGGCTGGGAAGCTTCGTGCAAGATCATTAGCTAGGATGTGGACGTGGCAGGGCTGAGGTTTGAACCCAGTGTCTGTTTAAAAAAAAATTCATTTTTGGAGAAAAGGAAGAAAGGGAGAGAAACATCAATGTGTGGTTGCCTCTGGCACACCCCCTACTGGGGACCTGACCCACAGCCCAGGTATGTGCCTTAGACTGGGAATCAAACCGGCAACTCTTTGGTTTACAGGCTTGGCGCTCAATCCAAGGAGCCACACCAGCCAGGGCTGAACCCAATATCTCTAAACAGCATCCTTCAGCTTCTAACGCCGCCAGTGCAGGAACCCTTCTCTCCCCACTAGGCGGTAGAGGGGAGCAGGAGCTGAGCGCACGTGTAGCTTCATGCCCTCCTTCCTGGCCAGAGGGCTCCTCATCTCTGAACCACCTCTGTCAATCATTCTGGGTCCCTGAGGCAGCATCCCTGAGGTGTCACGACCCTGAGCAAGTTTGTTTTCCCCAAAGCAGTTCTCGAATCAGGACTGGCCCTTTGTAGGCATTGGAGATCATTTGTAGTTTTGTTTTAAACTCTAAGCATCAGTGTATGCAGTACAAGAACTAGTTTTGCCCTTGTTTGGGGAAGGGGTTGGGCCACACAAAAAGTACAGAGAAAGTAAAATTCAGTTCTTTCTCAGGCGGTTGGTTGCATCAGGGACATTCTTGCTCTTCCATCATTTCTGCCGTTTCTAATCTCAGACTGGAGGGAGAATGAATAGATTCTTATTTAACAGAGCAGAAGACACCTACAAGGGTCGGAGAGGTAATCAGACATACATTCAAGGGGTGAAAATAAAAGGGCTGCGTTATGGACTCACGTTCCTGATGGTGGGGCGGTTGGAGCTCGATCCAGCCCCAAGTGGTGGTCACAACTCGCTCGTGTTCACGGGTCTGCTCACTCAGCTACTCCGCGGGCATTTGTTGAGCCCGTAGCTGTTTGTCAACGAGGTTGAGGTGGACGTGACAGGCTCCTTGTCCTCCAGTGTCCCCGCATCCCAGTGGGGGTGCCAGTTGTGGAAACGGGTGGATGTCGTAAGGAATTACAGGTGCTACAGCCAGGTGTGATCGGGTACAGGAGGGAGTGGCCGGTTCTGCCGGGGGCTGGGCTGGGGGTGGTCAGAACAGGTTTGCAGAGGCCAGTGGGAAGTCCCTTGGAGTGCTTCCAGGAGTGATGGGAGACCTCAGGAAGCGAGGTTGCCTTGTGTTTTGAACAAGGAACGTGTACAACGTATTGAAGGTGGTGATTAAGTTGCAGAGGACCCAGCACCGTGATCAGAGGCTGCCGTGGCCTTTTCCCAGACGAGATGATCTGCACACTCAGGAGAGTGTACTGCTCTGCCCCTTCCTGTGTGTGTGAGCGTGGAGAAGATGGGGAGGAGGAGGACGATGCTGGTGACGGTACCTCACGGGGTGGCTGTGGGGTTGCAGTGAGGTCCTGGGTGGGGAGGGTTGAGCTTAGCCCAACACCTGGCACACAGCGAGCGCTCCAGTGCTTGTTCCTGTGCAGCCAACCGGAGGTTACAGGGCTGAAATACTCTGTGCTGCCTGGTATACATAGCTGTAGCCCCGAGCCCCCTGGGCGCCTGCCTCCCTTGGGACTGCTAGACCTCCTCACAGCCCAGTAACTTAGAGATGAACTAACACCTCAGCACAGTGAGGGCCCCCGGGCCCCTGCTCCGGCCCAGTGGCCACCATTGATTCTAACGGGTGGGCACCCATGCTTTGCCAGTGGTTAAATAGTTTGAAATCGCCCTGTGTCTTCCTCAAAGCATCTCACTGCTCTACGGGTCTGGTTTTTTCCCCAGTAACATCTGGACACACACACACACACACACACACACACACACACACCTCACCAGGTGTCCCATGGGGCTCTGGACCAAAGCCATGGTTCCCCCCCCAGAGTCAGTGCGACCATTGCCCCCTCACGGCTTGAGCCCTTAGCTCAGGAGTCAGCCCCAGTCTCTCTGCCTCTGCGTCTTCCTGCCTCTCCACAGCCGCGTGGCCTACCTCTCGCAGCCTTCCCTCCGCTCCGTCGTGAGACAATGCCCCCTCGCTGCACCCCCTGCCTGTTGATTGAGAACGGAAATGTGGTTTGTGCACTGAGTATTCATTCAGTAATGCTCAGAGAGCACCGCCCTTTGCCGGACACAGAGGAGGTGACTGAGCACAGGACAGACACGGTTCCTGTCCTCCGGACGCCATCCGGCTGGGAGGAGGCCAGCAGTGAATACAGTCTGAATGTACAAACTGGAGCATGTGTCTTGAGGGGCGGGAACAGCCCTCAGCTGGCTTCCCTGTCTCTAGCCCGGCTCCCGATCAGAGAATTCCCTGCAGGTGACCAGCACGGTCTTCCTCAAAAGAGATCTGCTGGTGTCCCTCCCCTGTTAAATCCTGCAGGGTCTCCCCTTTGGCTTCGGGAGAAAACCCCAGCTCCGTGGTGTGGCCGAGAAGGAACTTCGGGCGCTCTCTCTCCCTGCCGTCCGGCTTCCTCTTCCACGGACTCTGCCCGGAGCTGCGCTGAGCACCTGGACCGTTCCTCGTGTGCTGCTCGCTCGGTCGCCAGGTGCCTTTGCACATCCCTCTTCCTCCTGCTAGAGTCCCCCCTGCCTTCCCGTCTGTACCGGAACCACAGGCTGAACGCGGGAGCTCTTCCTGTGGGCTCCCCCGCTCCAGGCTTCTCGCTGTCTTCCCACCGGATGGTGCAGTCCGTGGCTGTGTCTTCTTTCTCTGTGTCCAGAGATCACACTATACTTGACTCATAGGTGGGGATAACTAACATTTGCTGAGCACTTACTAGGTGCCAACCACTGTCCCGAGGGTTTTGCAAGGATTAACTCATTCCAGTTGTCACAGTAGTGAAGGTACTAGTATTCATCCCCATTTTACAGATGGAGAAACTGAGGTGCAGAGTGGTTAAACAACTTGTTCCAAGGGCTTGCTAGTCCCGGTGAAGGAAGTGGCAGAGCCAGATTTAGAACCTGGTTTTCTAAGTTAAAAAAACCTGTGCTCTGAATTAGTCTAAACTGGTTTCTTTTCTCCACTTTAGAACTCCTCACACTCTGGGGTTTACTTCTCATCGAAGTATAACTTCTGTGCTCTAAGGCATATGCGTCTGAAGTACTCAGACGATGAATTGCCCCACACGCCACGCCGAGTACGAACCGCCCCGTGAAGACATTCCCCGCTCCCAGCCCTCCGGAGGCTCTCGTGCGCCTCGGGCAAGAGCTCCGCAGGTCACCACTCTTCCGACCACTGTCACCACGGGCTACTTCTGCCCAATCAGGGGTGTCAGACTCATTTTCACCAGGGGCCACATCAGCCTCACCATTGCCTTCAAAGGACCGAATGTAATTTTAGGACTGTATAAATGTAACTCCTCCTTAACAGTTAAGCGAGAGCTTGGCACTGCCGCTGGGATAGAAACAAGGTGCTGGGCCAGATAAAAAAAAAGGTGGAGGGCAGTATTTGGCCCGTGGGCCTTGTGTTTGCCACCTGTGCAATAGATGGAACTGCAGCATGTAAGACCTGTAGTCCTTTAAGAAAAACAACAGCCTGGCTGGTGTGGCTCAGTGGATTGAGTGCTGGCCTGCGAACCAAAGGGTCGCTGGTTTGATTCCCAGTCGGGGCACATGTCTGGGTTGTGGCCCAGGTCTCCAGTATAGGGCATGCAGGAGGCAACCACACACTGATGTTTCTCTCCCTTGTCTCTCTTAAAATGAATAAATAAAATCTTAAAAAAAGAAAGAAAGCCTATTCACATCCCATAAAACCCATCCTATTGAAAGG